GCAGCTCAGAAATGTAAATGGCAACATTTAAAAGTAATTGCCTGTGGAGAAGTGAACTGGGTGACTGGGCAGGGGGACAGCTTATTTCTCATCTTGAACTATGGAGCGGGTGCTTAAAGCTCAGCCCTGCAGGGAAGCGGTCCTCACCCTGGGCGATCTTGCCCCCTAGAGGACATGCCGCAGCGTCTGGCGACAGGCTGGGTTGTGGTAGCGCGGTACTGATGCCACGGGGGGATGTGGTTAGATGCCACAGCACGCTCACGGATGTCTGAAGACACACAAGGGGTCAGTAACAGTGGCTCCCGCTGGATCTGTGCCTGCTATTGAACTCACTGAAACAGATAGCCCCACCCAATCAACGTGTAAATCAAGTGCATTGAGTAATTCCACTGTACAGCATAATAAAAGAATGAAATATGTGCAATAGAGATGTACAAGAACAACACAAAAAACCTGAGGATCAAGTGTTGGGTGGAAATGCGTAACTCCCAGCCACATGACAAGGGGGCCAGCAGTAATTGTTCTTGCTGTCGCACATCCATCTCTTTTCAAATGTTTATTAGTTTTTCTTGAAAGGCAGGGAAACTTCCACCTTCAGGCTCACCTCGCTGCAAACAGCCAGACTTGGGTCAGGCAAAAGCCAGGGCTCTGGAACTCCATGCAAGTCGCGGGGACAAAAGTACAGGATCCATTATCAGCATCTCCCAGAGGAGCTAGGGCTGCAACCAGCACTCCAAGATGGAATACAGGTGTCCCAAGCGGGCATTTTAACCCTTATGCTACTAGCCCAAGCTACACACACACACATTCATCTTTAAAAAAAAACCATGAAGGGCCCGGCGCGGTGGCGCAGTGGTTAAGGTCCTCGCCTTGCACGCCCGGGATCCCATATGGGCGCCGGTTCTAATCCCGGCAGCCCTGCTTCCCTTCCAGCTCCCTGCCTGTGGCCTGGGAAAGCAGTCGAGGACGGCCCAAAGCTTTGGGACCCTGCACCCGCGTGGGAGACCCAGAAGAGGCTCCTGGCTTTGGATCGGCATAGTATCGGCCCGTTGCACTCACTTGGGGAGTGAATCATCGGAAGGAAGATCTTCCTCTCTGTCTCTCCTCTCTGTATATCCGCCTTTCCAATAAAAATAAAATAAATCTTAAAAAAAAAAACCATGAATTGGTATATTTATGTACTTCTGTATGTATGTATTTTCTTGCACACTTCACTTATTTGAAAGGTAGGAAGGACACAGATAAAAATTCCTTCCATATGCTGGTTCACTTCACTTCCCAAATAGTTGCAGTGCCTGGGGATGGACCAGCCAAAGCCAGCAGTCTGAAACTGAGTGGCAGAGGCCTAAAAGACTGGGCCATCCTCTACTGTTTTCTCAGATGTCTTAGCTGGAGGATGGATCAGAAGTAGACTAGCTGGCGCTCATATGGGATGCTGGCACTGCATACGAAAGCTTAACTCACTGTGCCACAACACTGATCCCCAAGCATCCATTTCTTATTACATGAGACCAACTGGGTGTCTGGTAACCAGAACAAATGTCATGCAAATGAGCCACCTTTGTAAGAGCCAGATGGTGCTAGCATGCCTGAGTCCTGCTGGCCTGCTTGATGGAAAATGCGATGGAGTAGAAATCAGGACCCTGGGGCTGAGAGGTTAGGTTGTCAAAAATAAGTTTCCCAAAAATCAAGTGGCTAGGTTACACTGAGACATTTTTCACAAAATATGGGAAAAATCTTAAATATAAAATTAAACTGTTATAAAACAAAATTAGAAAAAATGTGAGACTTTAGACCAGTTGAAATAACAAAATCAAAATCAATATCCAACACCACTGAACTCCTGCCTGTTAGTCCTTCACCAGCCGTTCTGTGACAGCCACTGAAGGACTCCCACCCTTTGTCAGTAACTGCATTTCGCAGAAATACATCCTAAGGCAATGATTTCACAGATTTTATCATATATTATAACTAAGACTTGCTAAATCATTAAGAGTGGCAGTGGGGAGAGCAGTGAAAAAGAAGGCAGCAAGAAAATAAAATAAATGTAAGTGGCTGGCCAACTTCTGAAGGCTAAGATGGGGTGGGTTCAGGGGCAGGCCCGAGAGCATGCTGGCCCAAAGGGTGACTGTTGGCTTTCATACACATCTCCTGAAACTGAATTTCCTGGGAAAAATAGATCTAAGTATCACATTTAAATTCTAACACCAAAGGCATAGCCTTTTCTTTTAAAGATTTATTTTTATTGGAAAGTTAGATATACAGAAAGAAGGAAAGACAGAGAGGAAGATCCTTCATCCAATGATTCACTCCCCAAGCGATGGCCGGAGCTGAGCCATTCTGAAGCCAGGAGCCCAAAGCCTCTTCTGGATCTCCCATGCATGTGCAGGGTCCCAAGGCTTTGGGCCATTCTCGACTACCTTCCCAGGCCACAAGCAGGGAGCCGGATGGGAAGCAGGGCCACGGGGATTAGAACCGGCGCCCATATGAGATACTGGCACTGCGAGGATTTTAGCTGCTTGGCTACTGTGCCAGGCCCAGGCATAGCCTTTCAAGATGGTTAATGCTAATCAGATCTTTATGATCTTAACAGGAACATAGCTTTCATTTTTATGAAAGGGGGACATACCCCACTAACACTCTGGATTTCTACACCGAAACAATTTTTGAGGTGATGGTGCTGTGGCTCAACAGGCTAATCCTATGCCTGAAAGCCAGCCACTTCAACTCCAACTCCCTGCTTTTGGCCTGAGAAAGCAATGGAGAATGGCTCAAGTCCCTTGGGCCTCTGCAGCCATATGGGAGACCTGGGAAGCTCCTGGCTTCTAATCAGCTCACCTCCTGCTGCTGCAACCATTTCCGAAGTGAACCAGCAAATGGAATATCTGTCTCTCCTCTCTAAATCTGCCTTTCAAATAACAAAATCTTTAAAATAAAATAATTTCCTTATCATTGGGTTGTATTAACCTCTTCCCACCTGATGTGCCAGCATCCTAAATGGTTGCTAGCTTCGAGTCCTTCCAATCCAGTTCCCTGCTTAATGTACCTGGGAAATGAGATGGTCTTTAGTCCTGCACCCATGTAGGAGACCTGGAGGAAGTTCCAGGTTCCTGGCTTCGGTCCAGCTCCAGCTGTTGCACCCATCTGGGGGTGAACCAGCATATAGGATAGATTTCTCTGTGTCTCGTCTCTGGGTAACTCTGCCTTTCAAATAAAAACTAAGTCTTAATGGGCAGGGGGAGGGTAGAGATGGGGAGATACAGTGAGAGATTTTCCATCCACTGATTCACTGCCCAGTGGTTGCAACAGCTGTGGTTAAGCTAACCTTGAATCCAGAAGCTTCTTTTAGGTCTCCCATGTGGGTGCAGGGTCCTACTCCATCTTCCAGTGTTTCCTCAGGCACATCAGAAGGGAGCCGCATCAGAAGTGGAGAAGCTGGGACTCGGACCCACATGGTACAATAGTAAATGGTGGCTTGCTGGACCTTCAGAGCTCATCTCTAAGTATTAGTTGTGACCTGTTGATTTAAAACTTCCTAGCAAAGTTAGAGGGAGGATATACTGCTTTCATTCAGTTGCTGAAAGGGTTTTAACTAAACTAGCTTTTTAAATTGTAACATATATATATATATATTACTGTGTTTAAAAAAATGTATAACATTTACATACAGGATCTCTTAAGTTTTATTTATGTACAGACTTCTGAAAAGAGGCAGTTTTAACTTAGCTTCTGCATTCTAAGGTGATGGCTTGGTATCATTAGCATGTTCTGAGCCACAGCTATTTTGTCCAGAGGTGGGCAGTTACTTTGTTTATCCTGCTTTTGACAGGTGTAAAATACAGAAACTTGATCTAAGGACAGACAGTGCTTGTCCAAGTTGAAATTTTGTCTTAAGTATCAAACCAAGTGTTTAAAAAATAAAGTTTAGGGCTTGGCACCATAGCCTAGCAGCTAGTCTTTGCCTTGAATGCACCAGGATCCCATGTGGACACCAGTTCTAATCCTGGTGGTCCAGCTTCCCATCCAGCTCCCTGCTTGTGGCCTGGGAAGGTAGTCGAGGATGGCCCAAGGCCTTGGGACCCTGCACCCATGTGGGAGATCCGAAGGAAGATCCTGGCTTCAGAATGGCTCAGCTCCAGCCATTGTGGTCACTTGGGAAGTGAACCATTGGTTGGAGGATCTTCCTCTGTCTCTCCTTCTATCTGCCTTTCCAATAAAAATAAATCTTAAAAAAAAAATGTTGCCTTAAGTATCAAAAAAATAAAGTTTAGGGCCCAGCACCATAGCCTAGCAGCTAAAGTCCTCGCCTTGACCGCACCAGGATCCCATATGGGTGCCAGTTCTATTCTTTGTGATTCAGCTTCCCATCCAGCTCCCTGCTGGTGGCCTGGGAAGGCAGTCAAGGATGGCCCAAAGCCTTGGGACCCTGCACCCAAATGGGAGACCTGAAGCAGCTCCAGCCATTGTGGTCACTTAGGGAATGAAACAACGGATGAAGATTTTCCTGTCTCTCCTCCTCTTTCTATGTCTGACCTTCAACTTACATCCTCTTCTTGACTGTATGTGAAATTTACACACATTTTACACAATATATTTCAATAATAGTGTGGTAAATGAAGACTTTTAGAAACTGATTTCTGTGTTATTATTTATAAAATGCTTGTGGTGGCGTCTCTTTCCTTCAGTTATTACCACACATCTGGGTTTTAGGCTGTTTCTGGTTTCCTTCATCCCTCTTCTCTACATACCCAAACAAGCAGTCAGTAAGGCAGGAGTTTATTAAAAAAAAAAAATCTATACGAGGAACATTTTCTATGTAGCAAAATATATGAAAAGTAAGATTATTAGGATAACTTTATTTAACAAAGTTGTGTTTTAAAGGTGTCAGGTATAAAAATCTTAGAAACAAATTCTAGAAGGTATGGTATTAACAGCTTAAAATCAGATTTTGAACAAGACCAAAACAGCTTATCATGAATATTTAAGAATCTTCGCACACATTAACATCACAGCTACGTGTTTATTGTACTGCTGCCGGGAAGCAGCTGCAGTGGTATTTCAGAAGCTATATCTTTTTTCTTAAGTGTAATATATGCTCATAAACTCTAGACAGTACTTTAAAATATACAATCTCTCCAAAAGAAAATATTCAACTAAAGATAGACAACTTTTAATGTAAGTAAAATGTTATAAGATTTTAAAATTAAAATCATCATCAGATTTTTCACAGCACAATGTACAGAAATTTGGAAGTTTCCTGTACGGAGTAGTACAATTTCTATTCCTGAGCAAGCCGCTCAATAACACGTCGGTAATCTTCCACCAGCTCCTGAAAGCTTTCTTCCAGCTGCTCATGTTGCATACTTATTTCAATTTGGTTCATCTGGTTTGTCAGTTCTTCTGGCCTGAGACATTTTCTCATCTTAGCAAGATCTCTCTGCTTTTTCTAAACAACAAACACAATTACTTGTTAGGCTAAGAAAGCAAATATATGCATTTATAACTTTATACTCCAATGTTTAAAAATAAGAGTAACAGAAATACAGTCAAACTTGTACCACACAAGCTCCTTCCTCCCAACCCCAAGAAGCCTAAACACAACATTAAGCAGGAACTGCAAGCCCTCTAAAGCCAGACACTGGGGTTCAAATGATGCTGAGATACAAAGCTAGTATCTCCTCCAAAGCTCGGTCAAGAATTCTGTCCTGTGTAAACACTCAAAACACTTCTTTTTAATTTTATTTTTGATGATTTTTACACAGTTGATTAGGATACGAAAGGGTCAAGGGTTAGAGGAAAGTAGGTGAGACCTTTATATTCTTTTTTTCTTCCTGTTCAAAACATTTTAATAAACCAGACACATTAACTTTAGAAAGGGAACCAACGCTAAGTGCCATCATTTTTTAATTCAGATCTGACATTTTCTTGCCACTGTGCTCATTTCCATGTTGCCTTCCCCTTGAGAAGTATTTATGGACCACACAATAACTAACTCTCCAGAACTACTGGTAATTGAAAACTGGTCATATTTAAAAATATGACAACTAGTATTCAGTGAACTTAGTACTAAGTTCTAGGTATTATATATGTGTGTGTGTGTGTGTGTGTGATGGACAAAGAGAAGGTGAAGGTTCTTTCAAAGATTCATTTCCTAAAGCCCCACACTTGGCCTAGGCTGATCTGCCTGCAAGGTAGAGTGACAGAAAACGAGATACAGAAAGAGATTTTCCATCTGCTGGTTTACTCCAAATGCCCACAATATGGGTTGGGATTGGGTCAAGCCGAGCCATGATCCTGGAATTCCATCTGGGTTTCTCACATGCTTGGCATCTGAGCCATCATTTGCTGCCTCCTAGGCACATTAGAAAGTAAAGCAGCCAGGACACAACCAGCACTCCACTATGGCACGCAGGCATCCCAACTGGTGGCTTAACCTACTATGCCAACACCAGCCCCTGACAGTTTCTGAGAAGACCGTTATAATAATTATATATGAATGTATCATTATATAATCATAATGATCAGTTACTCATTATTTTACTTGCTTGAATTTTAAGAGACCCGGTCACTTCTGTTATAAGCAACTGGGTTATACACGACCACAGGTACAGTGCACATTAATGTTACCATCACGTGTTCAGACATTCAACAATTCCTTGTTCAACAGATTAATACATATTCTAATCAGCCTGTTCAGCTGTGACTATATATAGCAAATTCTCATTCATGCAAATTGATAACAGTGATGAAACTATGGTTTAAAACCAAACCACCTCTAGGAGGGCCAATTTCTGCCTTTAAAGGTAGAAACTACAAGAGAAGCTGTGATGGGGTGCAGCCACCGATGGCTCCTACCACTGGTCAGGTTAATTGACAGCGGACAGGGCACGTTTCCGTACTCCGTCGCCCTTCCTACCTCCTCTTGCGCAAAAGGCACCCTGCCCCTCCATCCTTCCGCACCATTCAGAACAACTAACAGCATAGTAACTCCCTTCCTGGCTGAAACTGTATTGCGTGGCTCTCAATCTGACTGGAGGATGAGAACTTAATAACTCCTTTCACTGCCCAGCGCAGTGGCTCCGCGTGTGCAGCAGGAGCTGCTGTCACCAAGCTGGGGCAATAAAGACTCCTCCTAACATCCTACACTTGGGTCCAGCGTGATCTCTCATTCCTTAACAAAGCAGGGAAAAGGTGAAGAAATAACATTTCTCCCCCTCCCCCAAAGAGGTAAACAATATAATCAGTTTTATTTTCACCTGTGGTAAGGTACAGAGCTTGTAAATGACAAGGTTATTTTTAAGAAGAGAAAAAAGAAAAGAGAATATGACAAATGGGAAGATATGAAACTTGGAAGAAATAAACAAGACCATTTGTGAGGGAAGTGTCCTAACCATGATAGATTATTCTTGGCATTAATTTTAAAGCAAATAAAGACTATTCATAGTTTACAATGGAAAAAAAAATTTTAGCTAGAAGGATATTTTCCAGTTTTGTATAAGTTGGTTTGGTAAAATGATTTGGACTCTCCCACATACTACCAATTGCCAGCTTATGTTTTAAACAACGACAGATACAATGGTAAGCTTTAAAGTCCTACCTTATATGGGCTAATTAGTCTTCTTTTAATATCCAATCTATAGCTCCTATATTGTTCAGCATCACTCATGTCAGTCACAAGGAGTCGAAGAATTTCATATACTCGTCTAGCATGTTGCTGTAAAATAAAAAAAATCTGAATATTTTCAAATTTAAAAAGGTGATTTTTCCCAAAGAATACAGGGCATGGTTATTATCTGCCACAGGCAAGGAATTGTACTAGATACTAAAAGAAAAGCAATACAAGAGCTAGCAGTACAGGGAGTAACATCAATCAATGAGGTGTGGCTAATTTAATGATAGACATTAATGAGTTCTACAGTGGCACAGCCTGTGAATATGGGGACTATTCAGGGAACCAAACCCGAGCTAACTACTGAGAGGAGGAAAGAATGTCACTGTGGGAAGTGGCGAGGGTGCGGTGTTTACATGTGATTGTATGTGCATACATACATGCACATTTACCAGATAGCTTGACATTTCTGTTGTGAAAAATAATAAAAATGATCAATCAAATCTTGAACCCTTATTTATTGGGTTAAAGAGCTGACCTTTACCCTAGTAGATGACTGTCTTGAAATAGGACAGTGATGATTACAAATTTAAATTTTAAGGAAGTCATTCCTGTAAGTACATAGAAATGTTAGCAAAAGAAGGGCAGAGAGACTAAATCAAGCCACAGGCCAGCACTGCAGCAGAATGGCTAAGGCCACCACCTGTGACAACAGGCATCCCATCTGGGTGCCAGTATGTGAGCCAGCTGCTCCCTTCCAACCCAGTTCCCTGCTAATGGCCTGGGAGAGACCGCAGAAGATGGCCTGGCTACCTGGGACCCAGCCACCCTCACAGGAGACCCAGATGAGGCTTCTGGCTCCTGGCTTTGGCCTGGCCTGGCCTAGCCTTTGCCATTGTGGCAACCTAAGGAGTTAATCAGCAGATGGAAGATTTGAGTCCTCCCCACCTCTGTAACTCGCTTTCAAATAAATAATTAATTGGAAGACATGCAGGCAGACAAAAAGGAAGACAGAAGAAACTATTAAACCAGACCAAAAAAAAAATGAAGGCATGAGCAATTTAAGTAAAAATACTTAAAAGGGCATGGATTCTAGGGGAAAAAAAGACTAGAAGAGTAAGTGACAGTTCTTAAAGCCATAAGGGTGATTTATAAGGAACAGAACACAAATCTGATGAAAATTCCAGTCAAGAACTTTAGCAGTATCAGAATACACAGAAGGTTAAAACCATCAGGTTTATGGTTATGATCACCTGAGGAAAGCACAGTGACACAGGTGAAAGGTTAAAGGGCACAGAGAGGACAGAAAAATGGCTGAAAGGTATCAGGACAATCAACATTTTGTTGTCACTCAGCCGTAAGTTTTCCAAGTTTTCTTCTAGTTGTGTTAACTTTAAAATTTATTTGGGCTGGGTAGCATGCTATGAGTAGGTTGGAAAAAATAGTTTTTGAACGGAGAGAGATACAAACCTAAAGAAAATGAAAATGAGTATCATTTGGCCAGGCAAATTTGGATAAAAGGGACAGTACATGTAAAGGGACACAGTGCAGCAGCTGGGGGATGCGTAAGTAATGCCGGAGCTTGTAGGAAAGTGGGAGGAAACCAAAGCTAGCAGGGTAGGCATGATCTAATTATTGTTTAAAATAAATGTATCTTGCTTGCAATTTCCATGATTTTTGAAATGTATTTTTTTATTTCAAAGGCAGAATAACAGAGAGGAGAACAGAGACAGATCTTCCACCCACCAACTCACTCTCCAGATGACTACACAACCCCCAAGGCTGGGCCAGGCTGAAGCCAGGAGCTTTGTCAAGTCTCCCACATGGCTGCAGAGACCCAAACATTTGGCCTATGCTCTGCTGGCTTCCCAGGTTCATCACCAGAGAACTGGATTAAAAGAGGAGCAGTGGGGACTTGAATTCAGCCTCAGGATCTAGATTATGATGGGTTCTGTGTCCCCTATTTATTAGGATCCTGAATTGCCCTAATTATTTAAAAAAAAAAAAAAAGACATGTCATACTATTTGGATGCAATAACCTACACATATTTAAGTTCTTACTTGAATTTTATTTAGATAAACAGAAACAGAGAGGAATGGTTAAATAGATGAAGGGGTGGGAAAAGGAGGCAAGAAAAGGCAAGGCTACTCCTGCCCTGGCTCACTTCCCCAAATGCCCACAGCAGTCGCTAGTGGGGACCAAAGCCAGAAGCCAAAAACTATAGATTGGCCAGGTGGACAGCGGAGACCAATCACCACTGCTCTCAAGGCTCTGCGTTAACAGGAGCAGGAGTTACAAGTGGAAGTAGGTACTAAACCAAGAATTCTGACATAAGATTCAGGTGTCTTAACTGCTAGGCAAATGCCTGCCACTTACATAAATGAGTTAATTTAAATATTCTATAAATAGCTGTATATCAGTGCCGATGCAGTGGTGTCCCTCGACTACTTCAGGTCTGTTGTTACTTGAGTCATGTAGAACCCCACAGCTACAAAGGGCCTACTATTCTATTAAAATGTATGTAATATTCTAAAGTGAATAAACCATTAAGGTTGCAGTTCAAAGTGAGTAGTTTGCTGGAGGTGACCAGCTACCTTTTGGTTATGGAGTTTTGGCACTTAAAGGGAAAATCTGGATTAGAGATTTAGATAAAACCTCACAGGAAAAATAATAAAGGGAGGAAACGAGTTGAATAAAGAACTCTAAGGAAGTTACAATTAACAGGAAGCATGTAGAAGTATGTGAAAGAGAAAGAATCCTAAGAACCGCTCTCTGTGCCTAATTGCCATCTTGCCTCAGAAGCTAAAGTGGGCAGTCCGTCAAGTGCTAAGTGCTCATCTTCAGCATTGGAAAGCCTTTCTTACATGCACTGTCATAATCCAAGCTTTACCCACCAATGCTGTCTGCAGGGGTGTTGTACAGAAAACAACATTGTACTATCCATGTTTGTTCTGCCTATTACTTTTATTTATTTAAAGTGTAAAGTTTTTTTTTTTAAAGATTTACTTTTATTGTAAAGTCAGACATACAGAAAGGAAGAAAGACAGAAAGGAAGATCTTCTCTCTGTTGATTCACTCCCCCAGTGGCCACAATGGCCAGAGCTGAGCCAATCCGAAGCCAGGAGCCCAAAGCCTCTTCCAGGTCTCCCATGCGGGTTGGTCCTCCTCCACTGTTTTCCCAGGCCACAAGCAGGGAGCTGGATGGAAAGCGGGGCCACGGGGATTAGAACCGGCGCCCATAGGGGATCCCAGCACATGTAAGGTGAGGACATTAGCTGTTAGGCTACCATGCCGGGCCCTCTGCCTGTTACTTTTAATGTAGCCATAAAATCTATTATTTCCCCAAGAGGAAACTGAGCCCCAAAGAGGTAAACTAAATTAGTCTAAAAGGAACTCTCTGGCTTCAAAGACTATACTTTACTACTACTACTTCCCACACTGTTTAAGGTTTACTTTATTTGAAAGGTAGAGGTACAGAGAGCAGGTCAAAGAGAGTCTTCCATCTGCTGGTTCACAGCTGCTATGGCTAGGGGCCTGGCCAGGCTGAAGTCAGGAGCCAAGAGCTTATTCCAGGTTTATCACATGGATGCAGGGGCCCAAACACTCGGGCAGGTTGCCCTCCACTGCTTTCCCAGGACTATTAGCAGGAAGCTGGAGTGGCAATAGAACCGCCAAGACTCAAATGGGTGCCTATATAGGAAGTGGCAGCCTAACCAGTCACACCACAGCACCAGTCCCCTTCGCGTCATATGTACTCTCAATGTTCTTATGATGTTGTAGTTACGTACTTTAAGGAAAAAAAATTGTATCTATCTTTTTCCTACAAGACAAAAATACCTTATTTATTTTGAACTTTTGTTGTGCCTCTATAGCCATATCTTCACTGAATCCTTGCATTAATTTTTCCCGGGAAAAACATGGCAAATCTTGACAAAGCTTCACAAGCACAAAATCTCGTAATTTCACATAGCTTCTGGATGGATCTTCCGCTGAAGAAATAAAGCAGAATAACATATCCTTTACATGATTACTTCATAATTTCCAAACTCAAGAGTACATGCTGGCTAAAAATGCAAATATTCTTTTTTCCCCCAAGATTTATTTTTATTGGAGAAAGAGATTTACAGAGAAGGAGATACAGAAAGAAAGATCTTCCACTAGTTGATTCACTCCCCAACTGGCTGCATTGACCGAATATGGGCTGATGTGAAGCCAGGAGCCTCCTCTGGGTCACCCATGCAGGTGCAGGGTCCCAAAGCTTTGGGCCGTCCTCGACTGCTTTCCCAGGACACAGCAGGGAACTGGAAGGAAGTGGAACAACCAGGACATGAACCTGCGCCCTTATGGAATCATGGGCATGTAAGGCAAGGATTTAGGCCCTAGGCCATTGAGCTGGGCCCCAAAATGCAAATATTCATACAAGAAGATTACAATATGAAAATATTAAACCTCATAAAAACAAAACTATTAGATTTGCAAGTGAAATTATTTGTGTGAGGCTTCTATAAAAATATTTAACTTCTGAAATACAACAACAAATTTCAAATTTAAACTTTTTAGTTGGTATATTATCACATACATCTTAGTTTTGTTTAAATGAAAATCTCTATAAATAAAATTCAAGTTTGGATAAGCAATTCCAAATGCAAGAATTTTTTTGATGACTTAAAGTTCCAAAGCTCAATTTTAAATACCTTACTTTAGTCCACTGATCTTTAGTCTGCTGTATTTGTTATCCAACTAAAAAAAAATCTTCCTTTTATAAAAACAAGCCTTTTGCGGGGGGGCCTGGCATTGTGATGTAGTGTGTTAAACTGCTACAGAAAAGCCAGCATTCTGCCTGGGTGCCAGTTGGGTCCTGGCTGCTCTACTTCCAACCCAGCTCCCTGCTGATGTGCCTAGGAAAGCAGTGGAAAAGAAACTCAGTGTGTGCGTCCCTGTACCCGCAAGAGAGTCCTGGAGGAAGCTCCTGGCTTTGGATGGGCTCCTTGGCTACTGCAGCCATTCAGGGAGTGAACCACAGACGGAAGGTTTCTGACTTTCCCTCTTTTAACTCTGCTTTTACAATAAATACATAAATCTTATAAAAGTGCAAACCTTTTCCATACAGAGAGTAAAGCAAGAAAATATTTTTAATATTTTCTTCATTATCTCTGAATACCAAAGATATTCCTTATGGATTCCTTATGGTATCCACATTAGAGCAAGTAATGGACATGGAAAACATCAGAACATCATCACTCGAAACACTCCACAAAGAATCTAAACCCCAGTCCTGTCCAACAGAGATGTCATCTCCCTTCCATGACCCAGTATGGGTAGTGCAGAGACTAAAGAATGTAAAAATGTTTATAAAAAGTTCATATTTGACATAATATTATAGGGTATGAACACTCCCAATTAATTTGACTTTATGTAACCCTGATCAAAATCCAAGCTTTTCTATTAAAGAAACTGACAAGTTCATTCCAAAATCATACAGAAATGTAAGGAATCCATAACAGAGAGAAGACTCTAAAAATAATAAAAGTTGGGGCAAGTATTTAAGCACATTAAACCTCTGCTCATGGCACAAGCATCCCATGTAGGCACTAGTTAAGTGTTGGATGCTCCAAGCTTTTTTTTTTTTAATTGGAAAGGCAGATGCACAGAGAGGAAAGACAAAGATTGTCCATCTGCCAGTTCACTCCCCAAGTGGCCACAACAGCCGGACCTAAGCCAATCTGAAGTTAGTCTCCCACATGAGTGCATTTTTGACTGTTTTCCCAGGCCACAACATGGGAGCTGGATGGGAAGCAGGGCCACTGGGGCATTGAACTGGCACCCATGAGATCCCAGTGTTTGCATGGGGAGGATTGGTCAATTGAACCACTGCCAGGCCTGATGCTTCACTTCTGATCTAGCTCTCTGCTAATGGCCTGGGGAGCAGCACAGGATGACTTAAATGTGTGCACTCCTGAACTCAGGAGGCAGACCCAGAATAAGTTCCTGGCTCCTAGCTTCAGACCAGCCCAGTTCTGGCTGTTTTGGCCATTTGGGGAGTGATCCAGAAGCTGGATATCTCTCTTTTCTCACTCTGCCTTTCAAATAAAAATAAAATCTCAAAAAAAAAAAAAAAGGAGGATTTCATTCCCTAATTTCAGGTTACTTCAAAAAGCTATATAAGAAGACAGTGTGACACTCAGTAACTACATACACAGAGATAATGGAACTGACTGTGCAGAAATAAATCCATAAACTTCAGGTCAGTTTTATTCAACTATCAATTGATTTCTTTCTTTTCCTTTTTATATCTGTTTATTTGATAGGCAGGCAGCAGGAGGGGCTGGAAAGAGAGAAAGCTCCCTCAACCCCATGTTGTAGTTCCTTCCCAATTGTCTGGGAAAGCCCAGGCTAAACCAAGACTGAAGGCAGATAACATATTTATCATATTTCCACTCTTAAGTATATGTACCTCAGGAGGTATAAAAACATAGGTCCAAACAAAGACTTATATATGAATGTTTACTAAGAGCCTAAAAGTGGGAACACAAGTGTCTACCAATTGATGAAGAAATGGAATGTAATATATCCATTAAATGGAATATTACTTCATTAAAGAAGTGAGACAGTGACACAATCTACAAAGATGAGCCTTGAAAACAGTATCCTATGTGAAAGAAGGTCACGTGTTATATGAGTCTATGACCAGAACAGGCAAACAGAAAGAAAGCAGATTAGCTGCTGTTGAAGGGCTTGCAGTGAAGGACTACTACTGGATAGAAGGTTTGCCTTCTGAGGAACAGAGTAGTCCAACACTGGATTATGATGATGGTTGCAAAGTATCTACATTTAAAATAATTGAGTTTTTATGGTATGTTAACTCTTCTAATAAAGCTGTTTAACCAAAGTTTAAGATGGGGTAATATCTTTTAATTATTATTATTTTTACTGGAAAGGTGGATACACAGGAAGCGAGACAGAGAGGAAGATCTTCCATCCAATGGTTCACTCCCCAAGTGACTGCCATAATGGCTAGAGCTGAGCCAGTCCGAAGCCAGCAGCCAGGAAGGAGCTCCTCCGGGTCTCCCACTGGGTGCATGGTCCCAAGGCTTGGGGCCATCCTCCACTGCTTTCCCAGGCCACAAGCAGAGAGCTGGATGGGAAGCAGGGCCGCTGGGATTAGAACCTTTGACCATATGGGATCCTGGCGCATGCAAGGCAAGGACTTTAACTACTACGCTATTGCGCAGAGCCCAAGATGGGGTAATATCTTATATTGAGACTTACATTCATTTATTCATTCAAACCATATGTGTTGAATCCTTTCTTTATGCCTCTGTATAACAGCTAGTTATTTAACATCATGTGCAAGCAATTATTAAGTATTATTTGACACTGGCTTTATAAAAGAACTGTTTCTGGCTTGATAAAAAATTATAATGTATTAAATGAAGGAACCATCAGTACAACAAAGTAGCTGAAATATGCATCACCATAATCATTGATTAAACAAAATTGTATGTAATTTGTCACTCCCAGGATTCAGTCTTTCCCATTTTTTTAAGATTTCCTTGATTTAAGATTTATTTGAAAAGAAGAATTACAGAGAGGGAGAGTCACAGAGAGAAGACTTTCATCTGATGGTTTGCTTCCCAAATGTCCAGAATGGCCAGAGCTGGACTGGCCCAAAGCCAGGAGTCAAGAGCTTCCTCCATGTCTTCAATATGGGAGACAGAAAAGCTATACTGAAGCAATTCTTTTTTTTAACTGGAATTCAGTATTAACCTGAAGTAAACTGTTACAAGATACACATAGTAGGGCCTGTGCTACGGTGTATTCTGGGGCCATCATCTGACATGAGTACTGGATGAGTCTGGCCTGTTCCACTTCTGATTCAGTTCCCTGCTTGAAAAAAAAAAAAAACAGCAGAAGATGGCCTAAATGCTTGGGGCCCTGCACCCATGTGGAGACCGGGAAGATGCTCCTGACTTCAAATCAGCCCAGCTCCAGAGACAGTAGCCCAATTGGGGAGTGAACCAGTGGATGACAAAGATCTCATCATCTCCCCCTCTCTATCTGTAACTCTGGCTTTCAAATAAATAAATCTTTAAAAGAAAAAAAACTGATGATGTGGTACTTCTAAGAGCAACTATTAAGAAAACAAAATTCTTCTAAAAACATAAGAAATTAAAATAATTATTTCACTAGAAAATAGCACTGAACACAAAAGAAGGCAGTAAAGAGAATGAGAGCAAGAAGAAATGTGAAACAGAAAGCAAGCACTATAGTAGATTCAGGCAAAGAAATAATCTATACATAGATTCAGGCGAGCAAAGAAATAACTACATTAACTTTAAAGGTATTAAATACTCCAAAGGGCAGGGATTCTCAGACCATATTTTCAAAGATCCAATTATATACTGTTTACAACAAGCATTTCGATTAAAACACTAATATGTTGCAAAGCTATTGATGGAAAATAACAAACCATGAAAGCAATATGAGGATTAGAATGATTATATTAATGCTGCACAAAACTGTCTGAAATTTTAAGAGGGAAAAAGAAGGCATATTTTATGATAACAAAAAGTTAATGCAATGGGAAGATATAAACACATATTTAACTAACAGAGTACAAAACTGGCATAATCAAGGAAACAGACAATTCAAGAAAAAGTCAGAAATTTCAATCTTTCTCAATAATGAATAGAATTAGACAGGAAACCAATGATTACTGATTGAGTTATTGATTATTGAAGATTATTTAATGATTCATTAAGTAAGAGGGTCTGAACTGACCTAAAATAAGTAACAACACTGAATTATTAACTAAAGTCTTTACCAAGTCCAATACCAGGTAACTTTACTGGTGAATTTTACCAAACAACACTTAAAAAAATGGCAATTTCTCACAAATTATTCAGGAAATACAGGAAAGATGATTTCTCCATTCACTCGGCAAATTCAACTACCCCGGACACGAAGGACGTAACACAAAAAATACTCATGTGGGCCCGGCGACGTGGCCTAGCAGCTAAAGTCCTAGCCTTGAACACGCCGGGATCCCATATGGACTCCAGTTCTAATCCCGGCAGCTCCACTTTGCATCCAGCTCCCTGCTTGTGGCCTGGGAAAGCAGTAGAGGATGGCCCAAAGCTTTGGGACCCTGCACCTACGTGGGAGACCTGGAGGAGGTTCCTGGATCCTGGCTTCGGATTGGCTCAGCTCCAGCCGTTGCGCTCACTTGGGGAGTTAATCACTGGAGGGAAGATCTTCCTCTCTGTCTCTCCTCTCTGTTTATGACTTTATAATAAAATAAATAAATCTTAAAATACTCATGTGGCCCTCATTCATACAGGTACAAATGTCCTTGACAAATTTTGAGTGAAACAAATTAGCAGTGCATAAGATGACCACGTGGGATTTATATTAGGAATGTAATATTGGTAAAGCATTCAAAATACAACAGATTAAAAGGAGAAAGACCACATGATTATAACAGTAGAAGAAACAATAAAAGCACCTGTCACAATGCAACACCTTTCATAAAAGTGCTTGTGAACTGATGAATAAAAGGGAATTCCTGCATTTGTTATTGGTTATCTACAAAAAAACAAAATATGGCTAACAATTTAAAATGACTACAGACTAGATGCTTTTCCTTTAAGACTGCTGGCAAGACATGGTGTCCATTCGTACCCCGTCCAGCCAGCCCTCTACCAGGGGCAAGAAATGAAGGGGAAAAATAGACAAATAAATAAATAAAAGTACCTGACTACTAAGGAGGACTTCAAAAAATGTCTATTTGTAGACAATGTGATCTTGTACAAACAGCCCAAAAACTACAACTAATGAACAAGTTCAGCAAACGTGTACAGCAGAAGATCAATATGTGAACCAGGTGGTCATTTACCCATTTATTAAGGTACCTGTATACATGGGTTCAGTGTCCAGCTTCATTTCCTGCTAATGCAGACCATGGGAAGCAAAAGTGATGGCTAAAGTAATTAGGTTCCTGCCACCCATGGCAGTCTTGGATTAAGCTGCTGTCTGCTAATTTCAGTCCTGGCCCAGTTCTGACCACTGTTGGCATCTGGGGAATAAACTAGAAGATGGGAGTTCACCTACTCATTTATGCTCTGCCTTTCCAACATTATCACAGTGCTTGGTTAGAGTTGTAGCTGCTCTGTTTCCAATCCAACTTCCGCCAATTAGCACCCTAGGAAGAGGCAGGCTGTGGCTAAAGTACTTGGGTCCCTTCTACCCATGTAGGTAGGAAACCCAGATTGATTTCTGGCCTCCTGATATGGCCTGGCCCAGCCCTAGCTGATGCAAGCATTTGGGGAGTGAACCAGCAAATCAAAGAACTCTGTTGGGCATGACACAGTAGCCTAGCAGCTAAAGTCCTCGCCTTGCATGTGCCAGGATCCCATATAGGCATCAGTTCTAATCCTGGCAGCCCCGCTTTCCCTTCCAGCTCCCTGCTTGTGGCCTGGGAAAGCAGTCAAGGACAGCCCAAGGCCTTGGCACCCTGTATCCATGTGGGAGACCTGAAGAAGTTCTAGGCTCCTAGCTTCGGATCAGTTCAGATACAGCCGTTATGGCTGCTTGGGGAGTGAATCTTTGGATGAAAGATCTTCCTCTCTGTATATCTGCCTTTTCAATAAAAATAAATAAATATTTAAAAAAAAATATTGCCTCAGGAGGCTATTTTTAATTCACACAATAATCTAAAAGGCTACATAACACATCCCAGAACAGTAAGGGACATTCAAAGGACAATGATCATGACTACTTAATACACTACTGGTAGATTAATACTGGTATTTTATTTACAGACACACACACACACTCTCTCTCTCTCTAGCCTAGGATTAATTTCTATTACCAAATGCAATTCTTCAGAATTCTGTAGTTTAAAAAAAGTTGCATTTTTAGAACAGAACAGAAAATTACTGTTGTCTGACTTGAAGGTACAGCAAAACTCACTACACAAACAGGATGTTAGGGAGTAGCCAAATCACAGAGAAGGGGAGGAAGGGACCTTTTTTAACTTAGGCTAACTAAGTATACCTCCAGGAAAAGGGTATATACTCCATAGTACTCAATGAGGAACCCGGGAAGGGACCCGAGCAGTAGAATATAAATGCAGGTATGCCTGCTCATCAGATGCCAGATGTTGTTTCTTGCTTTCACTATACTTCCTGAATCTGACTCCCTCTCTTGTGGACATGTGAGGGTATTTTCTACACAGGGAAAAAAGTCACTGGTTCATTCTACTTAAAAGGTTACACACTGAAATGTCTTCGAATGTGGTATGTTAAAGAGCTGATACCCTCACAAAGAAGATAGTAGATAAGAAACTGTCTTCTTATGAAGACAACTTTAATATTGAAGTTAAAACTGAGTGCTAAAAAAGGAAATTTGGGTGGTAATTATACCACAAACATTTATCCTTTGGTAGTAAATCTAGGCTAGCAATCATAAGTTTCAATTACCACTCTATCTTGGCTACTTGTCAAGTAAGCAAAGGTCATCTAATATACAGAATTTTTGGACTGCAAAGGGAGATCCAGGACCTATTAAGGATGTGCACAAAGTTAAGAATATACAAGGTAACTGAGAAATAGGCAACCAACATGATTAATCAGTGGGAAAGTACAAGGTATGGTTTAAATTTTTAAAGAGTGGGTATGAAAATCCAGGAGAAATACCTTAATGAGAGAGCTGATACAGCATTTTTAATATTTTATAATGTTGAGAAATGTTAATGCTGAAAATACAATTGTCAGACTCAGAAGTCCTTTTGCATGTTTAGCCTTTTCTCTTTAGAGATTTCAGCTTCTAACAAATAATAACAATGAACAAAGGCTACCATTACTGATGACTCTTCACTGAGATTTAAGAAATAAAATTCTTTATCTGCTAATTGGTGCTAAGTATCAAGGACTTTATTGGTTGGAGTAGACAGAAGAAAAGTGGCTAAGAGGCTTCAGAGAAACAACCCCTGCTGGCACATTACCCACTAGAGGAGACAAAGACTACTTATGCGGACTCCAGATTAAAATCCCCCAAAATGCTCCTCATGTAGTAACGAGTCCAGGCTTTGTGAGCAGAAACTAAACACAAGGCCCAGTAAACCAAAAGAAGTGATACATTTTGAATTATGTTTCTATAGTTTTGTAGGTTACTAAGCTAATGAAGGTGTCATTTAAGTAATTTACAGCATTTGATATAAACTAAGTTTTTTAATTACTTCTTTATCTCCCAAGTTTCTGGCCCATTTAACATAGTGGGAAAACTAAATAAAAAGATGATTCAATTCTGTAAGTGTGCAACTCACTGTCAGAAACAGCATGCTTTCCTCTAGCATATTGATCTGCTACACAGGATCAACTCACTGTTTTGGAGAAACTTTAACTTTATTTACATTGGACAAGCAGCCACTATACTAAATGGAAGAGGAGGAAACTGACGATCTGCCAACCAGCCCCTCTGTCTGCATGCCAGTCCAGTACACAGGTGTTTTGATTTCAGGTGCTTTAAGTTTGGTTTGTGTCAGTTTGTTTAAACAAGCTCACATTTTGGTGCATGTTAAATATTTCAGTTTACAAAATAAAGATGTATTAAAATTCTTTAAAGAATTTTTAAGTTTGAATGTCTGATTTGGATGAGAATATTTGGTACAGGCTGAGTATACCTGATCTGAAATGTTTAGAATGAGAACTGTTTTAGATTTTGGAATACCTGCACAAGCTTTACCAGTGCAGCATCCTTAACCTGAAAACTATCAGAACCCTCTGAGTGTGATGTGTGTTCAAGAAGCTTTAGATTGTGGAAGGTTTTGGAGCAGTGCTGCTTCACCTACACAGTCATGCTCCAAACAATAGAAAATTATTTTCACTTTATCAGCAACTTTATGAGCAAAAATCAAAACAGTTAAGTGGAAAGAATAATGACAGTATACATGTTTCTTTGGCCACTTAGTTCTTTGCCATTTCCTATGTTAACATCCTCTGCAATTCTACCTCAAGTTGCCTTGTTTTCCTATAGCATCTCTTTGCTTCTAAACATTCTATTCACAATACTACTTATATAACTAATCTATACTGAAAGATGCAACAGCCAAATAAACTGAAAAACTAAGTTATATCACTTCGCAGTATATTTATACTGAACCAAGGTTTCAACATTTCTTCAATTAGAAAACAATCTAATATTCAGAAAGGCTTATGATCTAAAATGTAATCTTTAGTTATCTTTAGGTAATTTTAGAAAGACCCTAGGAAAATGCTGTATTTTTCACTACTCATAATAACAACAAACTCAGTGAAGAAGACACTTTTTGGATTGGAGCTCAGCTCTGGCCGTTGCAGCCATTTGAGGAGTGAACCAGAAGACAGAAGATCTTTCTCTTTGTAAATCTGCCTTTCCAATAAAAATAAATAAATCTTAAAAAAAAAGAGAGAGAGAGAAAGATAGATTCTTTATTTTGGTAGCAAAACAAGTTTCACATACCTGTAATATCAAGAACTGAAGGAGACGAAATGTAGTATCTATGAACTGTTTCAAGAAGTTGAGCACCATGGCCTTGACCTTGAAATGGAGTCAATATCAGCATCTGACTACGGTAAAGAAAGTATTTTAAAATTAAAATATCACAACATATCTAATTTAAAAAATTGCAAATCACATATTATAAGCATTTTAAAGCCTGTGATTTTATTTTCTTAATTCAACCTTCAAGAAACTCAAAAATAATAGATATTCAAAATAGGTTTACTTTCCCCAGTTTCAAAAGGAACAATGAAATAAATCAGTACATAGCCAATGAATAATGGTGATTTTTTTAAACAAATCAACACTATTTTAACAAGTATTGGAAACTTCAGCAGTTCCTTATTCTGAAATAAAAGACAAGGCACGTGTTATACTGCCAATTACCTTACACGTGGCCGGGTTTTGTCTGGGTACACATAGTAATTATAGACTGTCATGTAGCCTACAGTCGCAAAGAGCGTAGCTCCATCCTTATTATACTTCTCAAATCTGCAGATAAAACAGAAAGCCAAGCAGGTCAATTACAGTCGCGCTCCCATGCAGTGTCCATTTTCTTTTCCATTCTCTGACTGAATTTTCAGTGTCAGCAAGCTACTCTGTGAGGGCCCAATGGGTACACCTGCTATGTTCTGAATGTACAATTCACTTAATTGGTGTGCAGCAACTTGGATAAATCAGACCTCTTTACATCACTTCAGTGCACTTGCCTATTATAAAGATGAATAGGTGGCAAGTAAAAGAAAACACAGGCAAAGCTCATTTTACTGTTTAAGCCTACATTCAGAGCTCTAACGGACAACAGCATTTAATTCAGCTCTATTCTCAAGGTCTCCCAAAGCATAATGAAGGAAAACTCAAGCCTCATAAACAATAGTTTTTCTTTCCTGGGAAAAATATCATTATACTGTCCCAATAATTGGGCTGCCACAATTAAAAAGCTGGCTTTGTGGAGGTAATAAGGTCTACTGTTGCTTTAGAACTGTACTTACACTAGAAAGTAGTGCCATCTTTCATCATCCACGTCAATAAAGCTAGCAGTTTCAATAAACCACATCAAAAAGGTCTGAAGCCTTTCATGATATTCTCGAAAGCCTGTACATGTCATGTCAGCCTAGGGAAAAAGCCAGGAAAAGTCAGGTGAAACTCATCACAGAGGTAAGTGCAAGTCTGCAAAACACAAAACTATCTGGTGGGAAAATGTTTACAAGTCTCAGATTAAATGTGTACACACACATGCACACACACAGAGGGGGAGAGAGAGAGGGAACAACTCTGTTTTTAATGACAAATAAAGATCTGTCTCCTGAAATTAGAAAAAACATTGAAAATAACAAAACTGCATATTAGCTTCAGGCAAATAGAGTAACTTTACCCAAGAAATATTTTTTCCTTTACCTTATAGATCTGAAATGTAAAGTTTTCTCCTGTGGGACTGAGAACCGAGTATGTATGCAGTAAGGTTCCAAATGGTTTGAAATCAGCTTCTTTTTCCAGCAAAGAAAGAAAATCACTTGTGTTTGTGCAAAATCCAGGAGGAATGATTTGTCTAATTTTGCCTTCAACATCATCTGCCTAAGAAATGGAGGAAAAGGGATCAAAATAAACCAATAAATAATAACAGTAAATTTGAATTTTTAGTTTACTTTCTCTGAAATGGACAAAACAAAAAAACAAAAAACTTCAAGGGACAAAAAGAAGTAAGGATGCAATGAACTGGAAAAGACTGAGTTTCACATGTACAAAGCACTGCCACATAAATTTGAGATGCGCATAATTTTAACACAAAAATAAATCAAAGGAGGCAGGTAGTCTAATACCAAGTGCAAGAATAAAAGCAATCCTACTGAAATTTCTGACATGATACAGAAAAAAACACTGACTGTATCTATTCATGACAACTGGAACTGGCCAAAACAAAAGGGTGCTTATTATTTTATATGTATCAAAGAGGTCAGTATGCACGACATGAAAAGATTACCAGCAGCAGTGAGGTTAGGGCTAGAGCCTGACCAAATGAATAGCAACCTCATAATGAACAAGTAGGTCACAACTCTCTCATATGCCAACTCACAACTAAGATGATCATTTAAAAATATATTCATTTAGGAAATACACAAATTATACGAATGGGTGTAGTATCCACTCATCTCTACAGTGTGACACAATTTTTACAGATCAGAATTTGTAGCAGTAAACAGTAAAAAAAGAGACTGGGCAACAAAATTAAACCGAGAGATTAAAACTAGCCTTGTTAAACCACCACCATGAATGTAGAACTATCAGCTGAGCAGACTTCATAATCCTTTTCAAAACCCCAAAAGACCACTTGATTGAATACATTTACTACTTCTCTTTAACCATGAATATTTGATGAAGTCTTACAATAAAGTATTACTGCTTCTCACCAGGCAATAAAACTTAATGAATTGGTCTCAACTTAACAAAACCTTATCCCTCAATACAGTCCCTAAAAGCCTGACATTACATTCAACAAAATGAGCTTGCATTCTATTGAAACTTTTTCCTGGACAATGAGGCCAGGTTTTTACTTAATGGAGTTTGCCGTGAGTTCAGCTGTAATGTTTGTATTGTATCTATTTCCACAAGGACTGACACAAGAACACTTTGTGTTAACTTACTAAGCAGCTCTTTCATACCGTTTACATGCATGATGGGTATTAGTTCTAAACCAAGACCCTTACTACTTAGCATTCAAAACAGGGAAATTAAGATGCTTAGAACAAAATACACTACAAAAGGCTAATACAACATGCTACTAATTCCTGTCCTTTCAACCATCTTTTAACTAAGTAGAAGCAATGCACCTGCAGATGAATAGCACTTTATTATCATTCAGTTACATTTCAGGATAGAGAACCAAGGGAGGAGTTTATCACAAACAAGTTTTATTTTCAATGTTCTGGTACTACCAACATGTATATATAATTTGTTGATAGCTGTAAAAATAAGTGCTATTATTTAACATATACTTCTTAAACATTTTGCGTGACAGTTTATTTCTAATGTGTACACCAGTTCCTGCAATTCACTTATCCTAAAGATCAAATGAACTGCATTTAGGGGCACTGTTCATTTAAAAATATGTATTTGATGAATATTTTTCCTACATGTTACAGAGAACAAATTCAGCATATTTGTCAATACAGTTTTAACTACATGAAGAAACTGTTAAAATAAGGACAGCTGTAACAGTTTGGTTGAAAAGCAATTAAAATCCATAATTGTAGGCAAATTAATTTTTTTTAATCAAGAAAAACTACTTTTAAAAAGAGGTTTACAATCTGTCACTTAAAAAGAAAATCACTTCAAGACATGAAATATATTTCAACTTTTGAAAACACCTCATACCCTTCTAAATAAGATGCTACACAGCATGATCAAATCATTTTTACTCAATATCTTGCACCAAATCAACTTTAAAGACTGCACAGAAACTCCAAGTTTCAAGTGCCAGTTCTAGTGAAAGGCAGAGCAAGCCAAAGATTTGTTTAATTTTCAGCCTTCAAAGGACATTTGCTGCAATGAATACCTTCAAATATTTTACTCTGAACAAGTTTATACATTATTTTAATAACATTTACAACAGGAGAGTGCTAGATAGAAGGCAGGGAATCTTATGTACATGTAAATATTCATATATACGTGTGTATCTCACTTACACAATACATGTAATTTGAACCACATGGTTCTTGATATACAGAATTCAGAACTTGACTTCTATAAAGGAAAAGTGCTTCTATTTCTCTATTAAATTCACTATTGTTTAAGAAAGATCCTATAACCACCATGTCTTCAGATAGTCTCCAAAATAGACTGTAGTCCAGTTAAATTTCAAAAATTCATTCATATTGGACAGAAAATAAATCATTAGAAGAAAAAAGCTCATCATAGCCTGGGTTGCATGGCCTGGGTCCTTTGCCCCTCCTGGGCAGTGGGAGTCAGGCCCAGGAGCCCTGGGGATGGGGAATCTGGCAGCACCCAGCGCTCAATGGCACCAGGCGAAGCCCACAGGCTACCTGGTGGCATGCTTGTGGGGACTTGGGGCTGTGCACCTGCTGGGGGTCTTGGGGGTGGCACAGGTGGGGGCGTGAGGGGATCGAAGGGCTCAAGTTCAGGATTGATGGACTGACCATAGAGTGCATGGATCAGAACTGGCCCTAAACCTTGATCCTTCCCAAGTTGAGATGAGAGAAAGAGAGGAAGGGAAGGAGGGAGGGAGGAAAAGCCCATCAGTTTTAGTTGAATGTTGAGTTAAAGATAAACTGAAACAAAGCCCTTAATTCTAACGAGTTGGTCTTTAAGTTACTTGTGAAGGTAACTGAAAAATTCTCTATCTTCAAGAGCATTATATTCTTTTAAAAATAATGATACATTGCATTATCTGCCAAAACTCAGATGATACAAAACAGACTCAAATCCAACACAGTGGACATGAAACTCCAGACTTTTTTCCACTTAGACCTACTTCTGCAGTCTTCCCTGTATCTGTTAATGATACCACCACTGTTTATGCAGGGGATGCATGCATCTCATCTAACTCAACATTAAAACCTACTGGCTCTATCTTCAACACAGAACCTGACAGTCACCGCACCACACCCAGTGTCTCCTCTAACACAGCAATGCTGTGATTTTGTTTTCAGTTACTCTTGTCCCCTAAGAGTGTATTTTGTGCATAGCAGTCAAAAATTTTTTTAAAAAATGTAAAACACATCCAACGACTCTTACTTTGAGCCTTTAATGGTTACCAATACTCTTATCCTGTAATTTAGCTTTGCCATCACTGTCAACCATCTTTTACTCTCTTCTCCATCACTCCAGTGATCTAACCACAGGGATATTTCTGTTCTTCAAAAATGCCAAGACTATTATCTTTTTTTTTAGATTTATTTTTATTATTTTTTATTGGAAATCTTTTTTTAAATTTTTTTTTTATTGGAAGGCGGATATACAGAGAGGAGAGACAGAGAGGAAGATCTTCTCTGGGTCTCCCACGCGGGTGCAGGGTCCCAAAGCTTTGGGCCGTCCTCGACTGCTTTCCTGGGCCACAGGCAGGGAGCTGGAAGGGAAGCAGGGCTGCCGGGATTAGAACCGGCACCCATATGGGATCCCAGGCGTGCAAGGCGAGGACCTTAACCACTTGCGCCACTGCGCCGGGCCCCAAGACTGTTATCTTTTTGGGGCCTTTATATTTGCTGGTCTCTCTGCTTAGTAAAGCTTTGCCCTTAGATGATGACATAGCTAACTGCTCCTTCGTTATTTTAAAACCAGCAAAATGCGTCATCACTCTCTTGGAAAGAGATAGAAAACACAAAGTACTCCAAATCTGCTATCCATTCTTTTTTACAAGGGGAAAAAAATCTTTGAATATTTAATATAAGTGATCTTTGACCATCAATCAAGTAAGTACCCTCACAAATATACAGAAAAGATTGATTTCTTACTCCTAGAGTATCTCTAAGTAGAAAAACTTAGCTCTCAAAAGTGGCAGAATTAGAAGTCAATGCAAATATATAGCTATTTTCACTGCATGTGGTATTTGAAAGATTTATCAATAACTAAATCAATCATTCCTTTGCGGGGGAAAAAAATCAATCCATCACCATCAAATGTAACAAAAAAAAGAAGGAACGAAAACAGCCCCTCAAACAGTAAATTGCAACATAAGCAAAAATCCACATCTTATTTTAATAATAGCTGTATTTAATAATAACCTGGGTTGATTTGAGAATTTATCAATCTAGTAAGAAAAATTTGATTATGAAAATATCCCATTTTAATACATATATGTTCAATGCTAGTTTATCTAAGATTAAATCTTTCCAAGCAAATCACAGCTATAGCATTATAACCATAACTGTAAAATTCGGAAGAATTTCAAGCTATTCAAGCTACGGAATAAAATATAAGTAAATTGGCAAGCAAGATCATCTCAAATATGGCTGGAAAGTAGAACAAAACAAGCAGACAAACAAAAGATGCCCAGTAATATAGTGTTTCGTGTACGAAGTTGATTAACAGGTAGCTCATGATAAATAAGTAACTGACATACCAATTACCTTGCTCGGATCATTATATATAGTACGTGTACCTGTAGTGACATACCATGCTGTATCCCATAAATACGCACACCAATGTGTCAATTAACATATTTAACGACTATTTCAGACCTCTTTCATATTACACACAATTTATTTTATACAAGACTCCATTAAGCTCACCAATATGGCATTGTTGTTTTTTGCTAAAAACAGAAATAAAAAGTAACAAGCTTAAGAGCCTAAACTCATTAGAAAAGGTCATAAATATTTCTAACATCTTTTAATCAAGATATTACTACATATTATCTATAATATCATTACTAGCACAGATGTGGGAAAACTGAAAGAAGCCCCTGCTTGCTGCCTTCCAGGTAGTACTAACAAGAAGCTGGACTGGTAGAGAAATTAGGACTCAACCCTAGGGACTTCAACTGGATGTGGGCGTCCCAAGCTCAAGCTGCAACACCACAACAGCTGCCCTCAACTTGGAAGTTGTTTTACAACTGATTTAATATTTGTTTGTTTATTGGAAAGGTAGATGTAGATAGAAAGAACACAACACAAAGAGAAAGATCTTCTGTCTGCTGGTTTACTCTCCAAGTGTCTGCAATGGCTGAAGCTGAGCCAATCCAAAGCCAGGAGCCAGAAACTTCTTATGTCTCTCCCACACAGGTGCAGGGTCCCAAGGCTTTAGACCGTCTTCAACTGCTTTCCCAGGCCACAAGCAGGGAGCTGGATGGGAAGTGGAGCTGCCGGGATTAGAACCGGCGCCCATATGGGATCCTGGCGTGTTCAAGGCGAGGACTTTAGCTGCTAACCACGCTGCTGGACCCCATAATCTGTTTTTCTATCATTCACTTTTTCCATCATTCAATTTTTCCAGCCTCTACCTATTTCAGAAAGTAAAGTTTACATTCTCAGTTATTTCTTGGGGTAACAATCCACTTGTTACAACAATCTGCATTAATTTCCTCAGGATGCTGTAATAAAAAACTGAATTTAGTCTTTAATAGTCTGGAGACAGTGTCTGAAATTGGTGTAACTGGCCCATAATCAAGGTTGCCATATTTCCTTTGCAAATGGGAGAAGAGAAAGCATTCTTCTTCTCTGCCACTGTCTACAGGTTCATCGATCTTTGCTCACACCCACATCACTCCGCTCCCGCGTGGATCCTTCTTTGGCTGAGAGCCACATCACTCTGCTCCCGCGTGGATCCTTCTTTGCTCACACCCACATCACTCTGCTCCCACGTGGATCCTTCTTTGCTCACACCCACATCACTCTGCTCCTTGTGGTCACACCTCCTTGTACTCTTCAGTCATTGAATCTCCTCTTGCAAACTTATTAGGAGTGATGTGATTACATTTAGGGCCTACTCATATAATCCAGGATAAATTCAAGACTCTTAACTTGATCACCTCTGCAAAGTGTGTTTTTGTGGGCTTTTTTTTTGGGGGGGGGGCAACATTCACAGGATCCAGAGATTATATTGTGGAGTAGGGGGCAGAGGGGGTGATAAAAATCCTTATCTAGCCTATCACAGATACTTTTTGATCACTCTTTGCCTTTACCCCCTTTGAAATTTTTGTTTCAAGTAATTTTATAAACACGTAATTATACATGTTCATAAAGGCCTCTGTGTGGTCAGAAATGTAGCAAGAAAAATTTAAGTAGATTCTCCAAGTTTGAAGTAAAACTAGATATTTCAGATATAGAAAAAGAAGTGATTTTCACATTCTCAATTAAAACACACAAAAGAAGGGAGAGAAGGCCTCACTGTGGCTTCTGTATGTGGACTCTGCCTGGAGTCCTGCATCCCCACCACACTGGAGTACTGGGATTGAACCTAGCTTCTCCACTTCCAATCCATCTTCTTGCTAATGCACATCCTTGGACTCAGCAGATGATGGTCAAAATGCTCAGGTCCCTGCCTTCCGTAGGACACCTAGACAGTTTTGGGCCCTGGTTGAAACCTGACTCAGTCCAGCTGCTGGGGTCATTTGGCGACTGAATCAGCACATGAAGATCTCTGTCTTGTTGCTCCCTTTCAAATGAAAATGAAAATAAATAAAAATTTATGAAGCCAGGATTGTGGTATAGCACATAAAGACACTCTACTTCCAGTCTAGCTTCCTGCTGAAGCAATCAGGAAGGCAGCAAATAATCAAATACTTAGGCTCCTGCCACTCATGTTATCAGACCAGACCAGAGCACTGGTACCTGGCTCAGGCCTGGCCCAGAGGTGGCTGTTATGGACATTTGGAGAGTGAACCAACGGATAAAACATTTCTTCGTCTCTCTTCAGCTCTATCCCTCAGCCTCTGAAATAAAGAGCCTTTAAAAATAAGTAATAAAAAAAAACCTTTGAGCTGGTAAATAAAATTCTTATCAGAAAGTGCAATTCTGGATGAGGACACCTGGCACAGCAGTCAAGATGCAGTATGAAGTTATCAGGGGCCTTGAGTGCCTAGGCTCACCACCTGGCTCCCTGCTAACCACTTGGGAGACTGGGTTGAATTTCTTTCTTTCTTTTTAAAGATTTATTAATTTTTATTTGAAAGTCAGATATATATAGAGAGAGGAGGAGAGACAGAAAGGAAGATCTTCTGTTTGATGGTTCACTCCCCAAGCGGTTGCAAAGGCTGGAGCTGAGCCAATCCGAAGCCAGACAGAAGCCAGGAGCTTCCTCCGGATCTCCCACATGGGTGCAGGGTCCCAAGGCTTTGGGCCCGCAACTGCTGACCTAGGCCACAAGCAGGGAGCTGGATGGGAAGCAGGGCTGCCAGGATTAGAACCGGCACCCATACGAGATTTTGGTGCCTTCAAGGTGAGGACTTTAACTGCTATGCTATCGTGCCAGGCCCTGGGTTGAATTTCTGGTTCCTGGGTTTGGGAACTAGTCCACAACAAGAGCATTCTGAGGTAGTGAGGGAGTGAATAAATGACTGTGAAGTTTCTGTATCCTCACTTATCAAAAAACAAACAAAGAAAACAACAACAACAACAAAAACCACAACTAAAATAAACCAAAACAAACAAACAAACAAAAAACCCAGAAAAGCAAAGCCAAAATTTTCAGGAAAAAGGTCCATCTAAGAAACAAACTAAGCATTACAATCATAGAGTTAAATGTAATGACAAGAAGGCAAATACTCTACAACTAGAGATCAAATATGTGATTTTAAATCTGCTACATACCTTCTGTCTTTCCTTTAAATTTTAAAACATGTCTAACGTAAATTGGAAAATACAGTTAAAAAAACTTACCTCCACACAGTCAAAGTTTTCATCTACTTTAGATGCATATTCAACACGGAACATTGTTGACAGGCTGCCAGCAATATAATATAACAAGATCTTCAGCCCTTTGTAACCAAAGGCAGTTTCACTAAAGCAAACAAAAACAATATTTAAAATTAATTTCTGCAAAGTCATCAGCAAGTACTAACCTACATATAAACAAATTTAACTTTATAAGTAGTTGCAAGATTTTAAACAACAAAAAGAAAAGCATTTGGAAGAAAGTCGAGCTTCAATGTTCATATGTAAAAAACACAATTTTTCGCATGTCTTCTTTGCACAGGTACCATGCTAATCTCTGCTTCATTCTAAACCTTAAGTAAATGTACTGCTGAAGCAAACACTCAAATACAAGGAACAATGGCACCTGAGAAGTTAGAGGGGCAGGTGCCTGGCTTTAGGGTTAAGCTTGGAGCATCTTTATCCCTATAACTGTGCTTGGTAGGAATCCCAGTTCTCTCCCTGTCATCCACATGAAGCCCTGGCTTGAGTCCTATACTTCTGGTTTTAGCTTGGCCCAGCTCCGGCCATTGTAGGCATCTAGGCAGTGAATCAAAGGATGAGATTTTTCTGTTTCTCCCTTTGGAATAAAATGAAAATAATTATTGTAAATGTTTTATTTTCATTTACCTGAAAGGCAGACTAAGAGAGAGAGAGAGAGACTGATCTTCCATCACTCACAAACGCCTGAACAGTCAGGCCCGGGCAGGCCAAAGGCAAGAGCCCAGAACTCCATCTGGGTCTTCCAAATGGGCGGCAAGGACTCAAATCCTCAAACTATCACCTACTGTTCCTCTGGGTACATTAACAGGAAGCTGGGCTGGGAAATGGAGTAGCTAGGACTCAAACAAAGAACTCTAAAATAGGATGTAAACATCCAAATGTCAATGTAACCCACTGTGTCACAATGCCTACCCAAAAACATTGGGGAAAAAAAAAGGTGGGCCCAGATGCACACAGGGGACATGACAGTCAACTCATCTAGGCCAGCAAGAGATGTCAACTGTCGTCAGAGGATGGAGAGCAGAAGGGGCTGGACAACTCTCCTGGTCAAGCTTTCAGTGTCTGGGTCTGTGGATGCACTAAGGTGCACTTGGTCAGACAACAGACATTGGAAAGATTTTCTCAACCCTGGAGCAACAAAACCAACAACTTCTCAGAACTATCAAAACCACTCAATAATACCCTTGGAACAATTCCCCACATCAGGGTCTCTCAGCTTCGTCAAATGACTGTTCCCCATCTCCAAGTGCTGATGTAGTTTGACAGCAAGGAACAGCCCCCTCCCATTCCCCTCTATCAGACTTGGGAGAAGAAAAAGAAAAATCCTGAAACATTTTCCTACCCACCTTCCAACATACCTCAACCCTCTGCATCACTGTCAACCATGCAAATAATATTTAAAAAAAAAAAAAAGACATGTACCTGGAGTTGGTATGGTGGTGGCACAGCTTGCTACTCCTCAGCCCTGTGGCACTGGGATCCCATATCCTGATCCAGCTCCCTGCTTATGGCCTGGGAAAGCAGCAGAGGACGGCCCAAGTGCTTAGGAACCCACACCCATATGGGAGACCTGGAAGAAGTTCCTAGCTTCAGACCAGCTTAGCTCTAGCCACTGAAGTCATTTGGAGAGTGAACCAGCAAGTGGAAGATCTTCTCTCCCTATCTTTCCTTCTCTCCGTAAGATTCACCTTTCAAATAAAAACAACCAAATCTTTAAATATATATATATATATATATATGTATATGTATATCCCTTGGGGCTGGCTGGTGCTGCAGCATAGTGAATAAAGCCACCCTCTGTGATGCCAGCATCTCACCTGGGTGCCAGCCGCTCCACTTCCGGCCTGAGTAAAACAGTAAAAGATGACCCAAGTGTCTAGGCTCCTGCCACCTGCTCGGGAGACCCACATGAGGCTCTGGCCTACCTGCAGACCTGGCCATTGAGGCTACCTGGGAAATGAACCAGCACTTGGAGGATGCATTTTTCTAACTCTCTCAATTAAAAAATGTTTTGTTTTTTTGAAGCTACACACACACTTATGTACTCAATGCTCATTCTTGGCTTCTTTATTCCAGCACCTGGGTCTCTTCCAGCCACATGGGAGAAATGGATTAAGCCCCTGGCTACAGCCCAGCTGTCTCAGCTACTGAGGGAGATGCACGGTGTGTGTCTGTTTTCATTTCTCTCTGTTTCACATAAATAAGAATTTGAAAAAAGTGACCACTTGTCACATCTGGAATAATCTGAGTATTAAAGAGAATAATCCACTGAAATAATTGAGGCATGGTTCTCCCTGAGTCTACACCACACTTCAGAAGCGTGCACTTTCATTTCCTTTGCATATAAAATACATCTTGACTTTCTTTTCACTTCTAATATAGAGTCTCTTCTAATATAGATAAGGGAAGAAGAGATGTACTTCCCTATAATAGACCGTCATCAAGTGACAGAATCAGAAAATCACCAATTTATAATCATCTTAGGAAAAATCTGATTCAGAAAAGAATCATTAATGGGTGTTAAAAGCACTGGGTAAATGTGATCAGAAATGGTATTTTCAGTCTCAAAGACTCACACCACAGATTACTTATAAATTACAAGAAAATGTTAACTCTACCGTGGAGAAACCTCTAGAACCAAGCAACTGAAGTTAATATAACGAACAATGGGACAAACTGGTGTCAAGGACTTGTTAGTGTGATACGGTGAGGACATCGGGTGGTAACTTCCGTAATGCTAGCACAAATATGCATTACCTGAACCTCATCCCAATGAGACTAACCACTCCAATCTGAAATAAGGCTGCCACTAAACAAACCTATACATTACTGGCACTTGGACATAGGATGACAATGTCACAAGCCACAGCACTGCTCCAGCAATAAATTTCTTGAGTTTCATCACTTTACCATGTATCTGTCCTTGTTTTCAGAAGACACATATGGAGAATTTCAGAAGTAACTGATCACAATTTGATTGCAAACTAATTCTCAAATGGTTTGACAATATTATTTATACCAGAAAAAGCAATTATTAAAATAATTGTGATTAAATGTTAAATAGAAAATTCAGGTAAAGAATCAGAGCTCATTACATTATACTTGAAATTTCATGAAAATATTACAGACTACAAATGTATTATGTAATATAATCAAGGTATAGTAACCCAAGAATCATGCTGAATCTCCCAATGTAACTAATTTAATCACAAAATAACTTGGGTTATAAACTTTAAGGGACTATATATTAGATACTATAAGCAATATAGCAGGGATTGGTGCACTGGCATAGCAGGTTAAGCCTCTTGCCTGTGGTGCTAGCATCCCTATGGGCGCCACTTTGACCCTGGCTCCTCCTCTTCTGATCCAGCGCCCTACTAATGTGCCTGGAAAGGCAGCAGAAAATCCAACTCTTTGGGTGCCTTAACCCACATGGGGGACCTGTAAATTCCAGGCTTCTGGCTTCAAAAACAGACCCAGCTCCAGCTGTTGCAGCTATTTAGGGAATGAACCAGTGGATAGGAAGATTCTCTCCCTCTCTCTGTAAATCTGCCTTTCAAATAGAAAAAAATCTTTAAAAAAAAATGACAACAACATGGCCTGGTGCAACAGCCAAGTGTCTAAAGCCCTTGTCTTGCATGTACCAAGATCCCATATGAGCACCAGCTCATGTCCCAGATGTTCCACTTGCTATCCAGCTCCCTGCTTGTGGCTTGGGAAAGCAGCAAAGTACGGCCCAAAGCCTTGGGCCCCTGCACCTGCATGGAAAACCCAGAAAAAGCTCCTGACTGCTGATCAGCTCAGCTCTGGTCACTGTGGCTACTTGGGGAGTGACCTAGTGGACTGAATATCTTTATATATTTCTTTCTTTCTATAGATCTAACTTTCCAATAAAAATAAATAAATCTTTTAAAAAATAAATAACAAAAAATGTAGTGGTTATGTGATGGACTCTAGAGTTCAAACTCCAACCATTCATATGTTCTTAGGGAATTACCCAACTGCACCAGTGTACAAAACAGCAGATACTACTACTACTGATACCGTAGTGAGAATTAAATAAACTAATACATTTATAGCACCAAACAGGAGGTAGTATACAAATCAAAATCTTATTGTGAAAAAAATATTGTGGTTCAGCAAGTGAAACTGCCATGTGGGATGCCTGTATTCATATCAGGGGGCTCAAGACTGAGTCCCCTTCTACTTCCAATAGTTTTAAAAAATATATTTTTAATGAAAGGCAGATTTAGAGAGAAACAAAAATCTTCCATCTACTGGTTCACACTCCAAAAGGCTGCAATGACCAGAGCTGAGCTGACCCGGAGCTAGGAGTATCTTTTGGGTACTCCACATGTGTGCAGGGTCCATTGGACTTGGGCCATCCTCTGCTGCTTTTCCAGGCCATAGGCAAATAGCTGGACTGGAAATGGAGCCACCAGAGTATGAACTGGCACTCACATGGGATGCTACACTTGAAGGGAGAGGATTAGCCTACTGAGCTACTGTGCCAGCCCCCACCATTAAGCTTCTTAAGAACACTCTGGGAGGCAGTAGATGATGGTATACATGCTCAGGTCCCTGCTACTCTTGCATGAAACAAAAATGGAGTTCCTGGCTTTGGTCTGGCCTAACCCTGACTACTGCAGGCATTTGAGGAGCAAAGCAATGGATGGAAAAACATGCATCTTCCTTTTCCTGTCACTCTGCTTTCTCAAATAAATAAAATCTTGTTTTAGAATAGTTGTTTCAAGATAAACTACACAAAAACCACTAGTTTGGAACAGATCTGATTATAAACTTAAAAAAAATTACTTCTAAAAAAGCTATACTGATTGCAAACATTTTACTTAGTTACTTACTCATCCCCAAAAAGCTGATGGGTATATTCAGGAAAGAAAGTTCTAATGTCATTCTCAAGATCTTCAGGAAAACGAACTGTTAAAAGAATTAAAAAACACAGATATTAAAAGTGACAGGTATTTTCATTTCAAGAATTTCATCAGACCTAATATATATCAACATTTTTCTTACTTCAGAGGCCACTCTCCATTATGAATTATACTCAATTTTTATGAGATTAAAAAGTGAAAATTATTTACAATGAATGCTTCAGTGTCAAAACTAATTATTCCAAGAATTAGAAGACTAGATGAGACAGGGTACCAGGTTTCATCTTTAATTTTGTGTCTATATGCACAATGCATAGCAAGAAGAAAAATTCAAAAAACAAAAACCAAACAAAAAAAAAATCAGAACAGAAAGAAAAGAAACTTTAAGAAAAACCACAGCATAGAGGAACTGAAAACAGAATGCTGTAAGAAGCATTTTGAAAACAATCAGTTGAATTAGATGAAGCCCATGTTATGGGCATCTTTTTGGCTGCTAGATGACATTTTTTACCACTTCTTTTTCTATTAAAAATAAACACAAGAAATCCCTGAGAGGAAGGGAGTTTGGGGAGGGGGTAAAGGAAATCCCAGAGTCTATGGAATTGTATCATAAAAAAAAATAATAATAATAAAAAGAAAACAATGCTCCTTGAGGCAGGCATTTGGCTAAGTGGTTAAGATGCCTGTGTCCCAGACTAGAGGACCTGTATTCACTCCCCATCTCCAACTCTCTATTCCAGCCTTTTGCTATTGCAGACCTTTGGAGGCAATGGTGATGGCACGAGTAGTCAGGTCCCTGCCACCCATGATGGTGACCTGAGTTACACTCCTAGGTCCTTAACCTAGCCCTGGTCACTGTGGGTACTTGCAGAGGCAACCAGCAGAGGGGAGCTCTGTCCATATACATGTTTCCCACTTCATTTCTCTGCCTTTCAAATAACAAAGTGAAAAGCAAACTTTTAAAGTAATCTTTTAATTACGTGTGTGTGACTGTACCTTTACAGTATACACATGGGAGAAATGTTGAAGAAGAACACTAAGTAGAGTGGCAAAATAATTTTATAATTACTGCTTAAATACCCTCTAAAAATACACTTACCAGATAGTACAGAAACTCCTTTGTCTCCTGTGTCCTTGAGAATACTCTGTGCCAAGACATTCTATAGCCTCAACTAGGCCAATCTAAGATGAAGTTGGGTAAGCTTCTGCCACTTTCCAGGTGGTCTAACTTCACATAACTTGTGAAGAGATCAACATCATAGCCTCTTGATTCAGTGTAGTATGAATATACAGTATCACTTATGATGTTTCCTTACCAAGAAATGTTTACCCTAAATTACTGAAGCATTTTACTTCCCAATTTACAGGAATTACAGAAGACAATAGAACAAATTACAGTTACATAACACAAACTCAGAATGCTGGTTCAGCAGCACTGTGCAGTGAATCTGGTCCTCCGAACAAACCAGTGAGGGTGGGGGCTTTTGGCACAGTGGTCCAGGTGCCTTTCAGGACATGTGCAACCCAAACTAGAGTACCTAAGTTCAAGTTCCAGCATCATTTCCAATCTAGCTTCCCACTAAGGAGTACTGTCCCTGCTACCCAGATGAAAAACCCAGACTGCACTCCTAATTTTTATAGGCTTCAGCCTGGCCCAGTCCAACTGTTATGGTAATACAGGGAGTAAACCAACAGGTGAGAGATCTCTGTTGCTCTGTCACTGTCTTTCAAATAAATCAGCGGCATAGGAGGAATAAAAGAAAAACTGCATGTGTTTTTCTGTTCTGCAGGGAAAAATTTTAAAGAACCAGGACATCTGCACAGGTTCTGTAATTGTGTCTAAGCTTATTTGAAAAGTTTATTGACTTATTTGAAACAGACAGGAAATGGCTGAGATCTTCCACCTGCTGGTTCACTCCCCAAATGGCTACAACGGATAGGACTGGGCCAGGCGGAGGTTGAGGTCAGGGACTGCATCCTGGTCTCCCACAAGGACAGCAGAGTCCAGTACTCATCCATTTTCTGCTGTCTTCCCCCAGGCACACTACTAAAAAGCTGATGGGAAGTAAACCAGTATTACAATATGGGATGTTGTTCACACAGCAGCTGCTTAACTACTGTGCCAGAAAACTGGTCCCTAAATAAATTACTATAGACTATTAAGGAATTTTAGAAGCAATCAGGAATTTTATGATTTTGAAGGATTACTGTGAATTTTTAAGGTGTGAATGGCTTCATAATCATGTATATGAGATGTTTATGTTTGTGCTATATCATTAAGTTCAGAAATCTATTTTTTAAAGACTTATTTAATTAGAAAAGCACATATACAGACAGAAAGAGACACAGAAAGAAAGCTCTTCAAGCCGTTGGTTCACTCCTCAAAGTGGCTACTTCGAAGCCAGGAGCCAGGAGCTTCTTCCTGATCTACCACACAGGATCCCAAGGCTTTGGGTCATCCTCTGCTGATTTTCCAAGCCAAGCAAGGAGATGGATGGGAAGTGGAGCAGCCAGGACCAGAACCAGTGGCCATACAGGATCCCAGCATGTCCAAGGTAAGGATTTAGTCATTGAGCCTTCACACCAAGCCCTAGAAACCTACTTTCAAATAATTCAGCAAAAATATACACACAAAGCAAAGATGGAAAATACTAACTCCTGAATAAATCTAGGTGTTGGATATATAGCAAGTACTGACCTATGTTTCAACTTTTCTACATGTTTGAAAATGTTAGTAATAAAATTTGAAAGAAAAAAAAAAGGCCTGGGCAAATACAAATCTTTAAGACTTGAAAAAGTAAAATAATAGATATTCATTAGTTTGTTGCATTTTCTTATGTTTTGTAATTTCAGTTAAAAAAGTGTAGTCCAGTATGCCTAGGCTGATTAGCCTAAAAATTCTCAACAGTTGCATCTCTAATGTTTAAAAACAGATATGCTGAAAAGATATTGTAATAAGCCCAGCCATGGTAATTATTTCTATATTTCAGATTGGCTTTTTGAGTGCTGTTGTAATCCAAATAATCAAGGCTTTACTATTTTGTCATTGAATCTGGTTCACATCAAACAAGAATTATAAGTTGGAAATGGGTTTAAGGCTGAACCAATTTGGCATATCTAAATGTACACTCTCTAAGAGGTCTTCAAAATGTACTATGTTTGGACTTAAAACATTTTTTGGTACTTTAAACATTTTGGTACTTAAAACATTAATTCATTTTGCATAAGCTTTTTGAAGCCTTGTTATATGAGAATACAAAGTACAAATTCTCTCCCAGAAGTCAGAAACATTAAATATTTTTAAGTCTTTGCCATGTACTCATTAGAGTAAAGCAAGCAAGCAATCCAAATGTCAAACAATGAGAAGACTAAATAAATTACAGTAAATACATAAAATGACTTCTACAACTAAACATCAAGGTTTTTTGGAATATCTACTGACAGAAATGGGAATATGTTCACAGGTACAATTGGGTGAAACATGCCACTGTAACCCCAATTTCATGAGAAATAGTAAAAAATATACAATTAAAAATACCACAAGGAAACACCCTACATTGTAATACAGAAGTGATTCCTTGGAGTGATACATTATGGGTAATATTTATTTCTTACAGACTTCAGGTACTCCTCAAATTTTCTGCAAAACGTGTACTATTACATCATGAAATAGAAGATTATGCTACCATCTGCAGTGTCTGCCTCGCATATGAGCAGTTTCAGTCCTTAGTGTTGCACTTCCTTTGAGATTCCTGATGAGGCTCCTGGGAAAAGAAGGCCCAAGGCCCCTGGCACTCATGAGAAACATGGCTGAAATTCCAAGCTCCTGCCTTCGGCCTGGCCCAGCTTGGGCCATTGCAGATATTTCAACAGTGAACCAACAGATGGAAGATTCTACTCTCACCACCCTCATTACTCTTTCAAATAAATATAAATGTCTTTTTAAAAAAATATATTTATTTATTTTTATTGGAAAGGCAGATGTATAGAGAGGAGAGACAGAGAGGAAGATCTTCTGCCCGATGATTCACTCCCCAAGTGGCTGCAACAGCTAGAGCTCAGCCAATTCAAAGCCAGGAGCCAGGAACTTCTTCCGGGTCTCCCATGCGGGCACAGGGTCCCTAGGCTTTGGGTCATCCTGGACTGCTTTCCCAGGCCACAGGCAGGGAGCTGGGTAGGAAGGAAGCAGGGCCACTGGGATTAGAACCAGCACCCATATGGGATCCCGGGGCATTCAAGGCGAGGACTTTAACCATTGCACTATCGCACCGGGCCCTATAAATCTCTTTTAAAATTGTTTCCAAAGGCATACATTAATACAATAAAAAAAAGTATACAACATAAAAAACAATTTAAAAACAAGCATTAACAATTGTTCTTACTGGAAAATCCAATTCACTGTTACTTTTGCAGAAAAACAGGTCCAGGGCCTAGACCACTAAAACAGGACCTTACTGCTACATATATCATAGAGCTTCCAATGAACCTTCCCTTTGAGTCTATTTCCTGCTACTTCTACTCCGATACATAGTTCTTGTGCTTCCTGGTTCTCAGAATCACTTATCATTGCTGTAGTTGTTAGATGAAATACATGAGAGAAGGAATCATCTATACATCTTCTGAACTAAAGCAAAACTTTAAAAATCACAAAAGAACATTAGTCAATATTTAAAAGTTTAATAGCTAAGGGACCAGCACGACCTGTGGCACCAGCACCTCAAATGGGTGCTAGTTCAGGTTCCAGCTGCCCAACTTCCCATCCAGCTCCCTGGGAAAGCAGCAGAGGATGGTTCGAGTCTTTGGACCCCTGTAGCTGTGTGGAAGTCCCAGAAGAAACTTCTGGCTCCCAGCTCTGGATCAGCTCGGCTTCCGCCACTGTAAACATTTGGGGAGTAAACAAGCAGATGTAGGAAATCTCTTTCCTTTTCTTGCAATTAAAAATGAAATAAATCTTTAAAAGATAAGTTTAAGTTAAATGTTTAAACATTTAACATATGTACAACCTGGTAACAGATGCTGATAATGCAGATACAAATGCTCAGAATC